GCATACTCATTGGCTCTCTTTCTTTTGCAATTTTCACACCCAAACACACACAGACAGGTCTACAAAAAGACCACGTTACTTACTCACAGGGTCTCAGTGGGGGTCCCTTAGATGGTTGACGGTTAACAACAAGCCGATTTGACGGTTGACTGTTAATTTTTCGGAATGACGTTTTTAACACGAAATTAAAGCGCAAATAACTTTCACGTGACCTTCAGCTGCTGAAACAAGTGACAAGTAAAGTGGTAAACCAAGTAGAAATGATAATATAACGCTTAATTTTTAAGAGAGGCTTTATTTCAATTAACGAGTCAATTACGTTGTGTTGCAATGATCATGTTGGCAGTTAGTATTGGCTCTGTGACATTATCATTATTTTCTTTGTCAGGGTGACCGCAATGGCTGCGGCTGTAGGAGCGGCCGCAATTCCATCTGCAGGCCTGGTTACCATGTTACTCGTGCTGCAAGCTGTCAATCTTCCGCTTGGCGATGTGGCTTTACTCTGGGCCGTTGACTGGTTCATGTAAGGACTTCTGCATTAGAGAGGTTTTTATTTGAGTGTCGAATAGTAATTTGTTGTGCTTCAACTACGCTACATAATTGGCTCATAAAACGCGCGCAAACTTTTCCATCCATTCAGAAGTAAACTCGTTCTCACTCTTTTTCCCGCGATATGCGTCAGCTACGCGCAGTTACTTCGAGGTTTGATTGGTTCACTGGATTGTCTGCATTCTTTGCGATTAGTCAAGTGATTACTTTGGATCTGGTTTTACGACACTCAACTGAAATCTGCTCCAAGTTTTACAGTTTTTTAATCTTAAAATAATTACCCCGTTGGGTCTTTAAAAAGACAAAATCACAGCTATTTTGTTATGTGCACGATCTCTCTCTCAACAATTAAAATATTGAAATCTTGAAAACGTAATAATTTCGAAAACTTGACGCATTAAGACGGACGCTTTTTCATCCTATAGGGATCGCTTCCGAACTGTGGTTAATGTTCTTGGAGATGCAATTGGAGCCGGAATAGTAGATCACTTGTCACGTGATGAGCTGATGGATGCTGACCAATCCAAGATGGAAGAAGGTGGACAGGGAGTTGACGGTGAAGTCATTGAATTAATCGAGGCTCCACAAGAACGATACACACGCAAGGATCCGGATTCCGGATCAGTTGGCGTCCAACCCCCCTAAAGCAGGTTATTGCCTTGCCACTTTACTGTTGGTTTAGTTATAAAGGGCCATTCTATATGCATGTGTTTACTGGCCTTTTGTTCCGAGACAAGAAATATCGATTCTTATAGCCCGTAAACGTTAGAGCTGTTTTTTATCAGTTAGCCTTTTTTACATGAAATTTTCGCGACACGTTTATTTCGCGATTTTGAGGTGCGCATATTTCGCGACACATAAATTCCTCGATTTTGCAAAAATTATGTATTTTGAATCACTCTAACTTCGCGTTTTCGGCTAACACAATTTATTTCCTTGGCAATGTTACTCAAACATGTCCTTGAATTTAGTAAACCGACTTTATCAAAGGTGCAGTAACGTCAAAAGTAACAAAAACGCAACGGCGGGACTATACGTTAACAATAACATAATGTTAGTTACTTAATTTTCGCGTCATGCGATCATGTTGTGTTCGCGACACTTATTGCTGTCGTCACTTTAATTTCGCGATTTTTTTTTAAATCGCGATATTCGCGAGATTAACGTGTCGCGAAATTCTCATGTAATAAGGTACAAGGTCGAATGTTCTGCTAATAGTCGGCGAGTTGTCCAATTGCTCCTTGTTTTCTAAATAATGATTTAGCGGAAACATTTTCGGCTAAGAGCACAAAAGTTATATTAATTTCATGTGATTTTTCGCAGCTTGTGGGGAAGAAAACATTCTCTTCCTAAATATACCCTTCCATAATCAAGTTAAAGTGTATCCTTTATTTACCAAAACAAGAAATATTCAGTGTATATATTTGACCAGAAGCATATCACCTCGTCGAGGTGATATGCTTCTGATTTGACATACTAGAGGTTTCTTTTAGTCCTATTTGCTTTCAGTACTCGCAGATACAAGTACGCTTTTCCAAAAGTACCACAGTGTCTTGAATGTGGGTAAGCAAGGCTTTCTTTTTCAATAAACGCAAAATAATTCTGATTCATCTGATGCATCTCCTCCTGACGAATGCAAAATACGAACCTCAACTCCCATATTCAAGAAATTATTAGTACCTTTTAGGAAAGGCCTACTAGCAGCTGTTCTTAAAGAACGAATGTTGCGCTATAGCAACAATAAAGAAATGTAAGACAGAAATAATAACGTGACAATGATTGAAGACTACACCGAGCGCACTCAGTGTGCTACCTAACTCGTGGATCTTTTGTCAGCTATAAACAAATGAGGCTGGTAGTTGTTTTAGTTGTGATCCAATGTATTTTTTTAGATAGCTTTCTGCAAATCAGTCATAAATTAATTATGTCCTAGTTACACCCATGTTTATTTGCGTGTTAATGTAACAGCTTGTAACAGCTTTTACCTTCCTTAGAATTAAATTTTTGAGCTACAACATAATTTTTTATCACCTTAGTATGCTTACATATAGGTTATCGTTTCCAGTCCCCAAGGGAAGGAAGAAAAGTATACAGTGTCATCTGTATAAGGTCAGAGTGTATTAAAGCATTATATAAACGACTGTATTTAATATATCGATCCTAAACTAAGTTTCAGTTAATTTTCAGTTTCAGCGTACAATGCATTATTGTAGGCATTGAAGGTCGACACGTATCAGTTCTGTTGAAAATTGACTGCTGTTCTAACTAATATCGTAAGCCCAAAGGAATAATCTGATCTGACCAATCAAAACAAACGGACAAGACACAATGAACCAATCAGAATACAAAACAACAAAGCAATCGGTATATTTTCTTTGGAAGGTATGCGAAAGGGTTACCTTGTCTGTACGAAATGGTATATAACAGGACAAGGGATTGGACCTCCCCGTATAGAATTTTGTTTAATACCCCTACCACCTCCCCGCTAATTCTCCCTGAATTGAGGTTACTACAGCTAGCAGCTAGTACACTACTGTAATTTCATTTCTTTTTTTCATTCTACACCGTAAATAGCACTGTCCAAATCGATAGACTTCCACAAGTGAAATACACGTGTCTAGATTTGGGGGAGGACTAAAATTAGCATCTTTAAAAAGTTAGGTAACCATTGGTTGCGATTCCCGCACCTAAAACGCGAGTGTGGCGCCTCTCTAAACGCGCGAGAACTTACAAGAGAAAAGAAAGTTGATATTTGCGAGAATCTCTCACCCAAGCACTGTCCAAACCGATAGACTTCCACAGGTGAAATACACGTGAGTAGATTTGGCGGAGGGCTGAAAGTAGCATCTTTAAAAAGTTAGGTAAGCATTGGTTGGGATCTCCGCACCTAAAACGCGAGTATGGCGCAACTCTAAACGCGCGAGAACTTACGAGACAAAAGAAAGTCGATATGGGCGAGAATCTCCAACCCAAACAGTGTCCAAATCGATAGACTTGCACAAGTGAAATACACGTGTGTAGATTTAAGAAAGGGCTAACTCTAGCATCTTCGAAAAGTCCAGTAGGCATAGTTTGAGATGCCGACACCAAAACCGCGAGTGTGGCGTATCTCTAAACGTGCAAGAACTTGCGAGACAAAAGAAACTTGTTATGGGCGAGAATCTCTCACCCAAGCACTGTCCAAATCGAAAGACTTCCACAAATGAAATACACGTAAGTAGATTTGGGAGAGGGCTAAAACTAGCATCTTTAAAAAGTTATGTAAGCATTGGTTGGGATCCCTGCACCTAAAACGCGAGTGTGGCGCATCTCTAAAAGCGCGAGAACTTACGAGAGAAAAGAAAGTTGATATGGGCAACAATGCCCAACCCAAACACTCTGCAAATCGACAGTTTTCCACAAGTGAAATACACGTGTGTAGAGTTGAGGTGAAATGCACGTGTGTAGATTTGGCGGAAGGCTAAAAGTAGCATCTTCAAAAAGGTAGCTAAGCATTGGTTGGGATCCCCGCACCTAAATCGCGAATGTGGCGCATCTCTAAACGCGCGAACACGTACGAGAGAAAAGAAAATTAATATGGGCAAGAATTCCCAACCCAAACAGTGTCCAAATCGATAGTTTTCCACAAGTGAAATACACGTGTGCAGATTTGGGAGAGGGCTAAAAGTAGCATCTTTAAAAAGGTAAGAAAGCATTGGTTGGGATCCCCGCACCTAAAAACGCGAGTGTGGCGCGTCTCTAAACGCGTGACAACTTACGATAAAAAAGAAAGTTGATATGAGCAAAAATGTCCAACCCAAACACTGTGCAAATCGAAAAATTTGCACTAGTGAAATACACGTGTATATATTTGGGGAAGGGTTAAAAATAGCATCTTAAAAAAGTTAGGTAAGCATTGGTTAAAATCCCCGCACATAACACGGGAGTGTGGCGCATCTCTAAACGCGCGAGAACTTACAAGCAAAAAGAAAGTTGATACAGGCGAGAATCCCTTACCCAAGTTCTGTCTATATCAATAGACTTTCACAAGTGAAATACACGTGTGTAGATTTGGAGGAGGGCTAAAACTAGCGGCTTTAAAAAGTTAGGTAAGCATTGGTTGGGATCCCCAAACCTACAATGGGCGAGAATCTCCAACCCAAGCATTGTCCAAAGCGACAGACCACCACAAGTGAAATAAACGTGTGTAGATTTGGGGGAGGGCTAAAAGTAGCATCTTTAGAAGCTTAGTTAAGCATTGGTTGGGATCTCCGTACCTAAAACGCGAGTGTCGCGTATCCTTAAACGCGCGAGAACTTACGAGAAAAAAGAACATTTATATGGGCAAGAATGCTTAACCGAAACAGTGTGCAAATCGATGGTTTTCCACAAGTGAAATACACTCGTGTAGAATTGGGGGAGGGGTAAAAGTAGCATCTTTAAAAAGTTAGGCAAGCATTGGTTGGGATCCCTGCACCTAAAACGCGAGTGTGGCGCATCCTTAAACGCGCGAGAACTTACGAGAAAAAAGAACATTTATATGGGCAAGAATGCTTAACCGAAACAGTGTGCAAATCGATGGTTTTCCACAAGTGAAATACACTCGTGTAGAATTGGGGGAGGGCTAAAAGTAGCATCTTTAAAAAGTTAGGTAAGCATTGGTTGGGATCCCCGCACCTAAAACGCGAGTGTGGCGCATCTCTAAACGCACAAGAACTTGCGAGACAAACGAAAGTTGATTTGGGCGAGAATCTCTCACCCAAGCACTATCGAAATCGAAAGATTTACAGAAGTGAAATACACGTGTGTAGATTTGGAGGAGGGCTAAAAGTAGCATCTTTAAAAAGTTTTAAAAAAGTTGATAGTGGCGAGAACCTCTCTCCCTAGCACTGTCCAAATCGATAGACTTCCACAAGTGAAATACGCGTGCCTAGATTTGGGGGAGGACTAAAATTAGCATCTTTAAAAAGTTAGGTAAGCATTGGTTGGGATTCCAGCACCTAAAACGCGAGTGTGGCGCATCTCTAAACGCACGAGAACTTACAAGAGAAAAGAAAGTTGATATGGGCGAGAACCTCTCTCCCTAGCACTGTCCAAATCGATAGACTTCCGCAAGTGAAATACACGTGTGTAGATTTGGGAGAGGGTAAAAGTAGCATCTTTAAAAGTTAGCTAAGCATTGGTTGGGATCCCTGCACCTAAAACACGAGTGTTGCGCATCTCTAAAACGCGCGAGAACTTACGAGAGAAAAGAAGGTTGGTAGGGGCGAGAATCTCTTAGTTAAGCATTTTTCAAATGGGTAGACTTCAACAAGTAAAATACACGTGTGTAGATTTGAAAAGGGGCTAAAAGTAGCACCTTCAAAAAGTTAGGTCAGCATTGGTTGGGATTCCCGCACCTAAAACGCGAGTGTGGCGCATCTCAAAATGCGCGAGAACTTACGAGAATAAAGAAAGTTCATATGGGCAAGAATGGCCAACCCAAACATTGTGCGAATCGATAGTTTTCCATAAGTCAAATACACGTGTGTAGATTTGGGGGAGGGCTAAAATTAGCATCTTTGAAAAGTTTGCTAAGCATTGGTTGGGATCCTTGCACCTAAAACGCCAGTGTGGCCCATCTCTAAATGCGCGAGAACTTACGAGAGAACAGAAAGTTTACATGGGCGGGAATCTCCAACCCAGACACTGTGCAAATCGATACTTTTCCACCATTGAAATACACGTTTGTAGATTTGGGAGAGGGCTAAAACTAGCATCTTAAAAAAGATAGGTAAGCATTGGTGTGGATCCCCGCACCTAAAACGCGAGTGTGGCGCATATCTACACGCGCGAAAACACGCGAAAGAAAAGAAAGTTGATATGGGCGAGAATCTCTTACCCAAGCACTTTCGAAATTAAAAGACTTCCACAAGTGAAATGCACGTGTACAGATTTGGGGGAGGGCTAAAAGTAGCATCTTTAAAAAGTTAGGTAAGCATTGGTTGAAATCCCCGCACTTAAAACGCGAGTGTGGCGCATCTCTAAACGCGCGAGAACTTACGAGAGAACGGAAAGTTGATATGTGAGGGAATCCTTAACCCAGACACTGTGCAAATCGATACTTTTCCACAAGTGAAATACACGTGTGTACATTTGGGGCAGGGCTAAAAGCAGCATCTTTAAAAAGTTAGGTAAGCATTAGTTGGGATCCCTGCACCTAAAACGCGAGTGTGGCGCATCTCTAAACGCGCGAGAACTTTCGAGAAAAAAAAGAAAGGTGATATGGGCGAGAATCTCATACCCCATGAACGCAAGGTGACGTTTACTGTAAATATCTCTTCGTGGCTTTCATTGGGTAAACAAGACATTTACGTCTGCTCGCCGTGCTCAACATCCATTCGTAGGCACTTTGGTATCTTTAAGTTCAGTTCGTAGATCTGAACTTGGTTCAGGGGGAGAAGCAGAGGAAGGTTCGTGTTGTGTAATTCGTTCATCATTGCGGGGTCACTTGATTTATCGGCATTCCCCGGTTTTGTCCGCTCACGTTTTTTTCCTTCCCAAGTCTTTCTTCACGTGTGTTTAGACGTGATTCGATATATAATGACCTTGTTTTGTTCCAGATTATTGGCGTCGGTGGAGTCCGCCATCATTTGAAAGCATCGGGAATNGGGGGGGGGGGGGGGGGGGGGGTAGAAATACTCCTAGTCGCTTCATGCTACAGAAACCAGGCTTTCATTGGGTAAACAAGACATTTACGTCTGCTCGCCGAGCTCAACATCTATTCGTAGGCACTTTGGTATCTTTCAGTTCAGTTCATAAATCTGAACTTGGTTCAGGGGGAGAAGCAGAGAAAGGTTCATGTTGTATAATTCGTTCATCATTGCGGGATTACTTGATTTATCGGCATTCTCCGGTTTTGTCCGCTCACTTTTTTTCCCTCCCAAGTCTTTCTTCACGTGTGTTTAGACGTGATCCGATATGTAATGATCTTGTTTTGTTCCAGATTATTGGCGTCGGTGGAGTCCGCCATCATTTGAAAGCATCGGGAATGACTCGAACGCACTATTTACTTTTAAAGCACTATTAATATCGTGACTTCATTTTAAAGCTTGTTTCATATTCCATCCCCCCTCTCTGGTTTATTTTTTATTTAATATCATCGACATGTCACTGAAACAGATTAT